GAGGGGTCAGAACGGATTAACCGTATTTACATTGAACCTTATGGGAAAATTTGATTCGGTTGGTCGTGACCAGAGTCGCGGAATGAATTAAGTTCATGAACCGAGGTACCACTGTATTTGGGGATAATATCCTCCTGGGTAAGGATGGTTCAGAGAACCTTCTACAGGGACTTGCAGACAAATTTTGCTGGCATCTGTCAGATAAAATTGCTTGGATTCATTCTCAGTTGGATGTTGGCTTTGCTGCAGGTCAGGTGGAGATGCCTAAGGAGGAGTCTTGCCCTGTTATCTGGGAACAGTTTGAACCTGTTGGACCTGAGGAAGTGGACAGGGTCCTTGGGACTGTGAGCTCAGCTCCTTAGATCCCTGCCCCTCCTGGCTGGTTAAAGTGGCCCATGGGGTGTCATGTGAGTGGGTTCTAGTGCTGGTTAATGCATCTTTGAGTGAGAGGGTTGTTCCTTCGCCTCTTAAGGAATGCTTGGATCACCCCCTCCTCAAGAGGCCATCACTAGACCCCACTGTACTGGACAATATCTAATCTCCCCTTTTTGGGGAAGGTGATTGAGGAGGTGGTTGCGCAACATCCTTGGATGAAGTGGATTATCTGGATCCCTTTCGGTCAGGATTCAGGCCTGGGTATGGGACAGAAACAGCATTGGTCATGCTTTTGGATGATCTCTGGTGAGGGTGGGATGGGGGTTGTGCATCCGTCCTTGCCCTACTTGACCTCTCTGTGGCATTCGATACCATTGACCATGGTATCCTTCTGGATCAGCTCAGAGGATTGGGGGTGGACGGCACTATGTAGTGCTAGTTCACCTCCTTCCTCCGGGGGCAGTTCCAGTTGGTGGTTGGGGAGGAAAGATCCCGCTCTCGCCCCCTGTTATGTGGGGTGCCGCAGGGTTTGGTGCTCTCCCCGCTCCTAATTAACATATACATGAGGCCGCTAGGTGAGCTCATCCATTGCCATGGGGTGAGGTATCATAAGTATGCTGATGATACCCAATTATACATCTCTTCCCCTGGCGAATTAAGCAATGCTGTGAATGTCTTATCCCGGTGCCTGAAGGCTGTGAGGGTCTGGTTGGGGAACAACAGGCTTCAACTGAACCCTGGCAAGACTGAGTGGCTTTGGGTTTTGGGGCCTTCTGGTGCTAGGGCTATACCATCTTTGGTACTGAATGGGGTTGCACTGCCCCAGACAGACCCTGTGCGCAGTCTGGGGGTCCTCATGGATTCTCAACTCCTGCTCAAAGAGCAGGTGGCAGTCATGGCTAGGAGGGCCTTTGCACAGCTTTGTTTTGTGTGCCTGTTGTGCCCATTCCTAGATCAGAGGGACCTACTCACTGTCACTCATGCCCCAGTCACCTCCCATTTGGATTTCTGTAATGCGCTCTACATGGGGCGGCCCTTGAAGAGTATCCAGAAGCTTCAGCTAGTGCAAAATGCAGCAGCACAGGTAGTTATTTTATTTTATTTTTATTTATGTGTGCCCCTAGAGTGGTACCTGTTACACCTCTGCTCCGTGAGCTGCATTGGTTGCCAGTTTTCTTCCGGGTCCAATTCAAGGTGCTGATTTTGATCTTTAAAGCCCTTCATGGCATGGGACTGGGTTACCTGAGGGATCACTTCTCCCTGATTATATCTGCCTGTCCCATCAGGTCTGGAAGAGAAGGCATGCTGTGGGTCCTGTCTGCCAGAGAATTATATTTGGGGGGGTCCCAGGAGGCGGCCCTTCTCTGCCGTGGTGCCCGCCTTGTGGAATCTTCTCCCCCTAGAAGTGAGATTAGCTCCATCACTCTTAATGTTCTGCAAGTCCTTCAAGACCTGGCTATGTGAACAGGCCTGGGGGTCCCAGGGGACCGGGGAGATTTTGTGATTAATTTTATCCCCTCCTATTTTGTGTGCTTTTATAGTTTTTTATTTGTAATAGTTTTTATGTATTTATTCTTTTTAATTGTTGTACGCTGCCTAGAGTCACTTTGTGTGAGTCGGGCAGCTATATAAATACAATAAATAAATAAAAATATCCTGGATGCAGTGAGGCATAATTGTAACAATTTAAGTACTTTGGGAGCATTTCATACACTGAAAGCTGTACATGTATAGTTCTGAAAATATCCTTGCAAATATAATTCCTGGTCTCCTTCAACAGAGACCTACCAAAATATTAAACAACAGCCTTGAAACTATCAGCATTGTTTATTACATTGATTCTTTAATTAAACAATGAACGTTTTTATATTCATTAAAAACTTAATCCATTTGGCTTTCTATGTTCCAGGTTTGTGACTGGCTATATCCTCTTATGTGCAGCCAGTCACCTGTTCTCTCATGCAGCTCTGGAGTCTACATGTTCCCCGACATGATGTCACAGGTATCCGGATCCTATGTAGGAGTAGTGTTGTCTTCAGAACTTCCAATTGCTTACCGAGAACTATTTGAAGATCTGCTAAAACAGATGACTGACCTTAGAATACAGGTAAATGCTTGCCTCGTGCAATTGTTCCACAGAAGAACTTTAAACAGTGCACTAGAATTTCTTTTCATAGCACTCAGCATACATGTTGTTGGACAGGTGTCTCTGTATATCTCAGTTGTGTAGTGGCCCAGTTGACAAGAACATGACAAAGGGATTTCTAAATTGTGGAAGAATATTGGATCTATTCTATAATTTGACATTGTTTTTAATCTACTGCAGTTTTTTTATTATTGTTTTTTTTACTGATTTCTGTTACAGGGTTTATTAGCCTAAGTGATGAGTAAGCCACTAGAAGTGTAGATTATGCATTTTTACATAATTCAATTATTTTTCTTTTCCTCCTCCCCAACCCAAAAAACCCTCTTCAGATAGGTACTGGTAGATACTACTACAATAAATATGATGGGAATAGTTGTCCAATTGATCATAACAGAGCAAAGATTAAGCAAAATCCACTGCAAATATTTTTAAAAAATCTTTTTAAACCAGACATTTCTAGACAAGATTATGAAAGTATAACTTATTAATCCATTCATGAAGTGAAAGGAAAATTATTAGAAGTGTTAGGGTGGTAGAAAATCCAGCTGATGGCAAATGGAAGAGATAGTCTTCCAATATGTATATAAAAGGAGATCATTAATAGTGATTTTAACTTTATTGCAATGCACCATTGGTGAAAATGGTAAACTTGAAATATAAAACCACATTCTCCTTTTTGGTTATAGTCATTTGGAAATCCATTGTTTAATAGTAAACAACAATTGGTTTAATTACAGTTTATTTTTTTACTTCACTCTTTAACTTTTACTTGATTATTAGTCACCCTAGGTATTATTCTGGTCATAAAATCTGAATTTTTCTTGTTCTCATAGTATGCAAACAAGTTGATCTTTATTAATGTATGAATTCACTTGCATGCATCTCATTTAAAAAGGATAATTTTATATGGCGATAGTATGCTGTTACTGTGGAAGAATGCAGAACGGATTCTTTGTTGAGCCTTCAAACTGTTAATATCCTTGATATGGTACTGCAGGCTCCAAGGTCCCGTGAGGGAGTAGGGTTTCCATCAGGATGCCAAAGATCTTACAAAGAGCTTTTTGAGGATATATTAAAACAGAAATCAGATCTTGGAACTAAGGTAAACTTGGGGGCTATGATTTAATGATGATGGCAAAGTTTTACAAATTGCCTTTGTTTTGCAATATGCAACATTTACTTATTGTACAATATGTATGTCACCAAAAAGTTATTTTGTGAGCCAACTCTGTTGAACCAATAAATATTAGATATATCTAAAAGAAAATTGGGGATTTGGAGAATGGTGGTTTGGCAATCTGTGTAAGTTTGCCATGTTTAAAAAAATATATGCAATTAGAAAAGATGTCTAAGATAGTTGAACTTCAACAACAATGGAATACTTAGAAGAGTTGAACGATGGAAATTATGAGATGGACCTAAATTGCTAGTAAGAATTCAGTAGAGACACTTTCAGTGAATATAGATCCAAACTAGATCTAACTCTAAATATTAGAATACAGTTTATGGAGAGGTGGCACTATTAATATTGACTGGTAAAATATTTTGTACAATATGTGAACCCAATCATAAAAACATTTTTTAACCTTGATTTGTTGAATAAGTCAGTTGCCAAGATCACAGGGTATGCTAAGCTATAAATCATGTATGGTTTGTCATGATATGTGAACTGAGCTCATCAGCCCTTGTTCTTCTACAGTACATAATACTGTAATCTTCTCAGACCTATCAGGGAAGTTTTATGCCTGCATTCTCTTCCATCCTCCACTGTTTGGTTATGGATTAGGAGCCTAGTTCACACATTGTGTTACTTTTAAATGTAGCTTGTTTATTTTTAGTTTAACATGTTTCTTAAACTGGTTTCCTGAAATGTTCATATTTAAAAACCACTTAGAAAATGGATTAGCAGTTCTGTTTTGACAAAAACGGGATAGTTCTAGAAAAATGTCCACTTTTATGTTTTTAAAAATGATCTTGTAATTATTAGCCATTAACAATCCTGGTCAGATGGCTCAATTTTCAAAATGTTTATTAAATAAAGATTCAATATAATATACTTTTTCAGTTACTGTAATGTTTATAAAATAAAAAAGACAATATTTTGACTGATCCTATAAATTCTGAATGACCAACTAATAAAATGTTTTTAAAATACAATAAATATACCTTTTCAGCTGTACCTATATGGCATAATTAAATGTTGGTCTGGCTTACCCAATATCTGTTTCTGTTTCAAAGTAATTCATTTAGTGAATTTATAGAGGATTAATCATTAATATACATTACTTGCTTATGTTTGGGTCCTGTTGTTCCCTAAAGGCCATTTTTAACCAATAAGTATATATGCTAAACAGTGATAATCCCTAGAGAAGGATGCCAACCCAGCATCATTAAGTAGCCATATTCTGTGAACATTCAAATATTTAATGAATGTGCAAAATAAGTTTTCTATATAGAATTTGCATTGTGATGTATAATGTTTTCTTGAGGAGAAATAATGCCAAAATAATGTAGCATCTCTGGAGAGTTAATTAATTATAGCAGTGATAATGGTTCCATACTATCTCACATTCAGTATATTCAATGCCTAAATAATTTGTCTTGAAATGAATTTGCCCAGACATTTTTATTATTGAAGTCTAATTCTTAATCCAAAATGTACAGCTGATAATTGCTTTGACAAAAAGAGCCATCTAACTATCACATGATTGTATTTGTTCTATTTGTGGTTGTGCCAGTGTGAGAAAAACCCAGAATAAATAGAATGAATGCTTTATTTTTTTTGTGAAGGCAAAACACATAGAAGCTCATTCACCCTTCTTATTCTTGCTCCTGGGGGGGGGGGGTGTGTGGAAACCAGAATTTCATCTTCCAGTTGTGGACAGTTGAACAAAGACTTGCAGTTTTAAGGACAAATAAGAGCATAAATAAAATAACAGTGGGCTTTCTCCTTACACTGAAATACTTTCTATATAACCTTTCTATTCTACATAACTAAGAAAGTATAAGTAAATGTAAAGGAATTAGTAAACGCATATACAGTCAGGTCCAGAAATATTGGGACATCAACACAATTCTAACATCTTTGGCTCTATACA